CCCAGGAATAAAAATAACAAAGGCACTATAATTCTGTAAAAATTATGTATTTAGTTTGGTGTTTCAATGCGGAAGAGATTAAAAATGGAGTTGATTTCTGTGTAGTAATGGTGAAAATTGCCTTTGTCCAGAATAACTTTTAGGTGGCCTACAGTTACTTGCAAACTTGTGGTGGGCAGAGCATCCTGAAAGTTGCAGTCCCAACAGCAGCTAGAGGGTCACAGGTAGATAAAACCTAGGCTAGCATGATTATAACTCAAACCTGCAATATAATGGAGCGATATATTTGCATGCGCATGTAACGTTACATAGGTATACATTTCCACCAGGACAAGGTAAAGGGGAATTGTGTATGGAACTTTTTTTATGTTTTATAAAGGTGAGAAGAGTTAGATCCTCTGTCACAGCAATCAAAATCACTCCTGTTTTAGGTAAAATGTATAAATTGGCCAATAGGAATGTGTGGGGGGTGGGATGCAGGTCGGCGCTGGCACCTCATGATGCCATCACTTCATGCCTATGAGCAAGTTTAAGTATTCTTAAAGTGAAGAGTCTTGAATATGAAGTGAAAAAGTCACTTATCTTCTGAAACAATGCATCTGTCACTAGCTATATTTTGTGTACACTAGTTGTGGAAAACATTGGTACACTTCAATGCAAATCACAAATGTGATTTGACAATCTGAATTACATACATTTTCAATAGGCAAAATCATCTCATTTTGAGCATTAAGACCACTTTAGCATTTCACCTGCCAGAAGCAGGCGGCATGGTATAACTAGTTATGTGTCGCAGTGTGTCTGTTTTATTTCAGGACTGTGGACGAACAGAAAACAAATCATAATTTAAACTAAAAAAAATCCAACTAGCAATCTCCAATGGGAGCATATTAGCAGGGAGTAATTAAAAACAATGACATTTTAATCATTTATTATTTGTAAATTATTAAGTCTGTGCTTTAAACTTTATAAACTGTAAATTAACAGTTTCCTTTATTGTTAATTCCTGCTGGGAGCTCTATCCCTGGGAGAGGTATATCAGCAGCATTTGATTAGAAAAACTATGTTTTAAAATTTTGCATCTGTAATATATTTTATTAAGGTGCTTTAATTTGTACATTTACCTGTTACACCCAGCTGGGAACCTGATCCTTGGCCATGTTATGCAATTAGGAGCAAAAGGTGCAAGGAATTCTGGGGAGGTGACACCAGATTACATTATACAAGGGACTACTTCACTTACCATTGTATCATGAACAGAAGTTGTAACTCTCCCCAATTATATTTAATACTAAAAACAGTTTTGACTGACATTTTGGATGGATTTCCACTCTAACATTGACTTTTAATACTTATGCATATAGAAATGACGTGACTGAGCTTACATAGTTACATAGTATTTGAGGTTGAAAAAAGACACGGGTCCATCAAGTCCAACCTATAGCGTGTATGCATGTGAATCTACATGTGTATGAGTGTGGATGAGTCCATGTGTTATCTTCTTCTTAAGTGTACCTGTACCCCTGTATGTTGCGGTCTCTGAGGAAATCGTCCAAATGCTTTTTGAACGATTCAACACTCTTTGCTATTTTGGCTATTAAGACTATCATTCTAACCTACAGAATATATTAATTTATTAAACCAAATGACTAGTAAAAATCTGAAATACAACTATTCTAATGTAACAGTGGTGCTCGGTCCTTGTACTTATCAGTTTTGAATGAAAAAATAAATAAATGAAAAAATGGCCCCTATTATGTATGCTATGTTAATGTTTTGCAAATTATTGATGTAAAACAATGTTTCCAGGTCATTACAGCGGTCACCGCAGTCAATTTATAAGAGATTGTTTTATAGTCCATTCTTGAAAATTGCAATTAGAATCATTTCAGCATTCCTTAATGTGGCAACAAATCTAACTGCAATTAACAAAATGTTATGCCTCAGTGCCAGAACATATTAAACAAATCTCTATTCCCATGACAGTTTAAGGACTACCTGGGCACAGCATTTACTGTGCTTACTATGAAGTGCACTTTACTTCTGGTGTCTTCTCAGTGTACAAAGGTTACTCATAATTACCCAGAAAAGAGCATTTCAGTAAACAAAACAACACCTGTGTATTGTATAAAAGATATTAGATGTCAAATGTCCATTACAAGTAATTTGTGCCAAGACTGAAAAATTCAGATGGCCACCTCGAAGCTAAGTCTGTAAGAGTCTAATTCAAATCACCACTATATTGGTGTTCGGTTATTGCCTAAAATGGAAATTTTTAGCTGTCAGTCTGCTGCTCTCCATGTAAATGCAGACATTTGTGTTACCACAGGTCATGTATATATATGCCCTTGAAGTGGAGCTGCAGGCAAAAATCAGGACAGTTAAACACCCTTCCACCCTCTACAATCATGGTAACTGTACATACCCATTTGATAAGTGATTATAGATAAAAATGGCTTTCTTAAATAGGGTATACATGGGCAGATTTTCGCACGAATGTTCGTACGAAAATTCCAGTCAGAATATTTGATAACATCAGAGGCGTGGAAATTGTCATTCGAAATTTTGTTTGAGTGTTGTTTTTAATATTTGATTTTGGAATGAATGGAGTATTCTGAGCGAAAACCATGTTCGCTGTTAGAATTTCGTTCGATCGAGAAACATTTTCCAATATGCTCCTTCAAATGTTTTCATCACTGTGGTCGAAATTGATCATCAATTTCACCACATCAACGGTTAGAAAGTTGAGCGAATGTTCCGAAATCAATGTTGTTCCTTCAAAATTCTAACCGTGTAGACTTTAGACACCTCTTCTCTTCCTGCCTGTAACTGAACAATAAAGGGGCAGCAGCACACCGATGAAGTCATTCCCTCTGCTCTCCCCTCCTGTATGTTCAGTGTTCGGCAGTGAAAACTGTGCAATACAATAGAGCCCTGATTAATGCTTCGTCCCTCCCTCTCCTAGTCTAACTGATGCTGTGCGGTGTAATACAGAAGTTATACAATAAGGCAGTTCAGGTAAAAAGTCTACTGGAGAATACATGTATTTTTTCAAATTAACTAGCTTGGAGATCACCTTAAAAAAACTTGGCCACTTTAGGAATATTAAAAGCTGATGGCAGGTATGAAGTGTAAGTACCCAGATGCTCCTGCATATATCTACAGTATTTCAATATCTTCTGCTTTGCCTGAATGCATCATAGAGTTTATACTTGCCCACTCCCTCTCTCCTTCTTTTACACTTTTATATTGACCAGTGAGGTAGCCTGCAGTAGTGATTCCCCAATAGGAATGTGTGCGTGGGGGGGTTGGTGGTTTCCAGGAAGGTGCTGCCATCTCATGATGCCATCACGTCATGACTGTCAGCAATTTTAAGTATTAGTAAAGTGAAAAGCCTTGGATATGAAATGAAATGGTCACTTATCTTCTGTAACATTGCATCTAATGTCATATTTCCAGTACATGTGTTGTGCAAAAGGTTGGCACAATTCAATGCAATCACAAATATTAATTTACCCCTGCCTTTGCCTGTGTTAGATTTGTGACTTAAGGGGACATGCAAGCCCTTCTTTTGTGTACCTCCCCAAGCTGCAAAACCCATATGTCCATTCCTGGCCTTGAAGGACCCTTTGCTGCACAGGTACATAAACGTGCTTGGTTTACACCACACTTAAACTAGTATCGAATGCTTAAAACGTTTTTCAATAATGAAGCCAGATCAAACAAACATACATTGCTGTTCCTTCTCCCTAACAATGAAACATATAGCTATGTAATGATCAGGGCTTGAAAAATCTTAGGGTGTCTCACCAGTCAGCATGACCGGACTATAGCCTTGCAATTTATGTTAGCATTTTTTGGGGACAGATAGAACTTTCTTTTGGTGGTATATAATCATCACTGGGGCGGGGGGTTAATTTTTTACTATATAATGAAAAAAGTACCGTAAATTTCGAAAAAAAATGTTTTCCCTACGTTATGTTAAAAGACATTTATTCTTACCCATATTTTTGGTAAAATATAAGAGACGGGGTCACATCAGGTAAATAGACACCAAACATGTCAAGCCTTAAAATTGCACGCGCCCGCAAAATCGCAAAAAAATGACCACACCAAAAATTGGCCATAGGCGACGCTTTAAACGCTTTTACTCATCATCAGTTTAGTGTTATCAGTGATTAATGGCACTGAAATTATTGCTCTCACTCCGACGTTCACGGTCATATGTAACGTGTGCAGCACAATAGGCGTAATCGTCGTTTTCCCACTTGGCGCACCCGACGCATGTTTGTATGTGTATGTGGGGGGAGGGGGACTTAAAAAAAAGTGTTTTTTTTAAATTTATTTTTCATAAAAAATGTGTCAGTCATTTATGAACAGAACCTGAAAACTAGCTCAGTCATGAAGGGGTTAATTGTTTTATTACTTAACTTTATTGCTATCACACAGGGGGATAAGAAGCTCCCTATGTGATAGCCAATTTACATGACAGGTACTCTTTATGGAGACATCAGGGGTCTCCAAGACCCCTAATGTCACCTACGGACCCCAGAGATGCTGATGAAGCAGAGATCTGCTCCCCAGCTTCTGTAGCTGGGAATGATAGCTGAATGCGGAAGTGATGTAATATATATCACTTCCTGCATTCGGGGACTGGAGAGAAGCTCAGGTGGAGTTCGTGTACCAATCTCCCTTTGATCTCCTGTCACAGAGCAGCCGTGCCGGTCCAGGCCGCACCGGGCACAGCGGATCTCGGGACTGGCAACGGCAATGACAGCAGCCGGGGGAGGGGGTAAAACTGTATCTAATACAAGTGATCGGGCGTCTCTAGAGAAGCCCAATCACATGAATGTAAACTGCCATCCAAGAAGCTCCCGGCCGGCCGTTTAATTACAACGGCCGACCGGAAGACTACTCGCTTGGCTCTGGCATCCTCTCGTCACAGACGAGAGGACAAGTGGATTTTTCAAACCCTGGTGATGATCTATAATAGGACTTACAGTAGCTGCCAGCCACATGATTTCTACATTCTTCCTTTTTTTGGCATGAGTGTTTTGGTGAAGATTCTCCAGGAGTTCTTTTAGGTCACTTTGATCATTGAATAACTGCGGACCTAAAAGAAAGCAAACAGACATTATTTTCCACCTTTTCAACTTCTGTGTAAATACGCACAAGCTAACTGAAGCTGTATAAAACATAAACCACAAAAAACAGTAAGCAAACTCATAATACATATAAACTTCTGTCTAGAAAATGTAAACGAAACTGTTGGCTGCCAATTTGGCATTACAGAATTGGCTATACTGCTGTTTGATATGCAGCATTATCGATGATAAAGGCAACAAGCATGGAGTTATTATTCACCTGCAAAGCATTAAAATGTATATTGTAGCCTGCATTCAGAAAAATATACTGTGTACTTCTATAATTATTATACCTTAATGTAGGCCTATTTGCTCCAATTTTCACATGTAACAATGCAAGAGTGATAACCAGATGCGGAGTTTGTTTGGTCACATGAACATCACATTCAACTCTGAGAGGAAATAATGGTAATGTGGAGTACAAGTTCACTGATTGGTTCTCTTGGTGCACAGTCAAAGAGGGTTCAGCTTGCAAGGAAGCCGTCAGTTCCTCATAGCGCATAATCAAACACAACTCAGCAACCCATTCCTGCACGGTCGGGGTGACCACCATGTTCCAGTGGCGGGGTACAATGTTACGTGCCGCCGCCAGGAAGAAACGGAGCAGGTCCTTCTTAACTGAAGCCAGGGAGGCAGGCAGAATCGAGAGGAGGGCTATTTTAGGGGACGGTGTTAGGTCGGTTCCCATGACCCGGTTGTAGATGTGGAAGACCTGCGTCCAGAGGGGTGCCAGTAAGGGGTAGCTCCACCAGATATGTAGGAGGGTTCCCTGCGCGCCCAGACACCTCCAACAGGAGGGGGATCTATCAGGGAATATTCTATGTAAGAGGGTCGGGCAGTGATATCAGCGGGTCAAGATTTTATTGCCCTTTTCCTGGTCTGAGCTAGCCACTGAGAGTTTATGGGTGACCACGCACGCTGTTCGGATTTCCTCATTGGTAAGTATGACATCTAGGTCTGATTCCCATCTTGCCATGAACAGAATCTCATTGCAAGTAGTTGGCGGTACAGTAGGGAGATAACATGAGTGGGTGGATCTTCCTGACAACAGAGTGATTCAAACCAAATAAGGGGGTTTTGCAGGGTGTTACTATCTATAACTCTCTATCTATCTGCTGACTGTAACTAACTATACTAGAACCCTCTCTATCTCCTACAGCACACTACATGGGGCCGCGGTGTCAGCAGCCTTATATAGTGTGCTGCAGGGACTTAGCTGTGAGACATGATTGGGCAGAGTCATCGTGACTCTGCCCAATCATGGCTCTACATTTGTACTGAGCCCTGATTGGCACAGTCTTGCACCTGACCTGCGGTCAGGTGCAGGACTGTACAATTACCGTATTCGGACGGCGCAGTGCATTGTGGGATGTGCCGGGGTCGAACAGACCGCGGACATCCCATAATGTTCGGCGAACGCTAGAACATGCAGCCCATCCTTATTCAGCACCCCCCTTCACAGCTAGCTGACATGTTCCTTCTTGCAACCTTCACATTTCATTAATTTTAAGATGTTCAAATAATTACATAGTTTTATTTTATATTATTGTGATTGTATCAACTCACTTGCAAGTATACTTTATGATGTATGGTTTAGAACATGCCTTTCCAGGCAGCCAAAGAGCTGATATACAAACTTTGTCATCAAGGCTCCATCACAGTTGTCTGAACATGTAATTTGTCCTGATCGTATCTTATGTATCTTTCACATAATGTTGAATACCAATAACCTAATTTCATATACAAAGGCCCTAGAAATAAAATAAATGCCTAAAAGAAGGGCATTTCTTTTAGCTCAAATCAACCAATCAGATTCACACTTTAATACCATACTGTGCTAGAAACACAAAAGAAAAGAGGCTTGTTGGCATTGCCAAGAGCTTGTATATATTATGTCCTCAGTTCACTGGTGTACATTTTAGGAGGTTAGAACCATCACATGCACAGCAGTATGTTCACGCATATTAACCCCTTCGTGACGGGAGACGTACACTGTACGTCCAGCCACAAAGGGACCAAATGTGTACGTGACGAGTTATTTGCTGCACTAGAAGGCTGCTAACCGCTGAGAATCAGCGGTTACCTTTCAGTAATAGATGTCTAACTATCTAGAGATCCATTACTGAAAGGGTTAACCTTTTTCAGACACCCGATACCTTAATATCGGGTGTCTGAGAGTCACAGCAAAGCAGACACACATGTCGGCTTTTGCCGGCATTCTGACAGCTCGTATAGATCGAGAGATATCTCTCTCAAGCTATACTGGCTTTTTTTTTTTTATCTTTTGACTTTCAAGAATAGATACAAAATGTTATGTATTAGACACATAATGTATCTATTCTTGAAAGTAGAATGTTTAAGTTTTCTGAAACATTCACTGACAGCTGAATCCTGAACTGCTGCAGGATCAGTGTCACTAACTTATTATCGGCTGTTCTGAAGTTTGAAGCAGCCTGATAATAAAAAAAATGTATTAATTTATCAAGCAGTAATAGTGAGATTAATTCACAATGACTGCCTGATATAATTAAATAAATAAAATTTGTCAGTATAAAAAAAGTGAAAAGTGTAAATAAATTAAAAAAAATAGTGAAAAGTGTAAAAAAATTAAAAATAAGGGACAAATAAATGAATGTATGTATTGCATTTTTTTTTAGCTGTGCTGGTTTTGTTAAAAAAAAATACTACAAATCAAAACTGGGAAAAAAAGTTTTTTTTTACGTTTTTTCCTCTTTTTTTAATTTGTATTTGTCCTAAGTGAGGCGTTAGACACACATATGTGATATAAATATATAGCCCTATCTGTCCTCTAAAAAACAATATATAATATGTGTGGGTGCACTTTGTAAGAAAGTATATTACTGACGTGGAAGAATCACACAGCAAAAATTTCAAAAGTGTGTCAGTCATTTACGAACAGAAACCAAAAACAAGCTCAGTCATGAAGGGGTTAAAGCTTTATAGATGACACAGAAAGCGATAACTGACTTTCCATATTCATATTAAACAGATGATTTGAATGTAGAAAACTCTCACTATATAAAGGAATTACTTTTTTTTTTAAACTTGAAACTTTGTTAAACTTTGCTAACAAGGTTTTACAAAGTCATCGTCTCTTTGCAAAGTGAAAGGCAGCAGTTCTAAACTGGTGGAAAAGCTCCAGCTGCTATTTGTACAAATCTCTGCTTTGGTTTCTTACCCTCCACAATCTTTCATTTGCAACCCAGTGCAAATGGATTCATGATGAGACACTTATTTAAAGGAAATATTTTGGTTCTTTAGAAGTTTGCATGCTCTCACTGTGATAAAGAGCCACTTATGATGAAACCTTTAGAACTTACGTAGGCATTAATAAAATATTAAAAAGTATCTGCACTAGATAGCAGCAATTCAGGCCACCACTTTTAGATATTTTAACGACAGATGCCTAAAAGATTTTTCACAGATAGCAAGGAAATAGAAACATAGGATGCATTGCATTTAGCCGGTTCCAAATCAGAACATCTGCAATCAACGCTCAATGCAAAGCCAAGTAAAATTGTGGCTAGAAGGGAAACCAGATTGCATGTTAATAGTCAGATTACTTCCACTGGGAACAAACAGTACTACTTTCTTTTGGCTGGAAGACCAGTCCACATGCTTGTCCCAGGTGTATTTTACAGCAGGACAAGTTTTCCCACCCTGTAAGACACTTCTATAGAACTGAATGTGTTTGAAGATGGTGGGGAGGGGCTGAGAGAAAAAGAAAGCAAACATCTGATTGGTTAGTTTGAACAAAACAGACATTCATTTTCTGAAGCAATCTAGATTGCAGTGTACATGGATAAACTGATTCCTTTCATACTTACAGTCTGGAGAGGTTTTATCTGTGCACAGCCTGTAATACTCTTCCAAATGTTCAACATTCTCTTGGTTAATACTTTCTTGCAAAGAGGTGTCACCAAACCTGCAACATGTAAATTCTTTTAAAACAAGTCGGATATCGACTTGAAAAATCCAAACAAACAACACAAGTCCTGGAAGTGATTAGCCGTGGCAAATTAACCTAATCATGCTTTTATATAAGTGTGCTGTGTGCATGTCTTCTTTGCTTTAAAAAGGAACAGCAAGCTAACATCTATCAAGCAAAAGATTTATTTGCCAAATCAATTTCTTCCTATATTTACAATGAGCTCAGATTAGGTTATCCTGTTTTTAGAGAACAATACACAACACAATGCTAGTTCATTTACCTGCCTGGTAGTTCACTACCTGAAAGACATTTGATAAGTAAATGTCATCAAAGGGCAATGCTGTTCACAAGTATAAGAGAGTGGTTGGAGATGTGAGCATTAATCCAGTCATTAAATGATTGTTTAATGATTGCATACACTGCTGCTAATTTTGCCTTGCAGAAAATGTGCAGGAAACCCTGGCTCAGATCTTACCATGGGAAAACAACAGCAAATAGCTGACATAAACCGCGTTATTTCAAAGAGAAATAAATTAGCCACATTGGGTGGTACGAAGTGGGTTAGTGCAGGCTTATTAATAGAGAACCAATCACTAGTTTGCTAACTTGAAGAGTGTGAAACAAATAGTGTATAATTACATAGCCTTATTCTACCCCTTGCTCTACATAAGAGGATGGAGAAATAATGGATGTACAAATACAAAAATAAGTCTGGACATGGCATTCAAGCCAACTCTCCCAAATGGGCCTCATTTGAACATAGAGGCATAGGACTGGACTGCCTGTTTACCTAGCCAGAATGTTCTTTGTATAATTGCACAGTATACTAGGTACCATGATGTATACTGTGCAATTATGCTTTACTACAACAAACAACAATGTATAAACCGCTAGATCTATCAACTCAGTGCAAAGCTTATGAAATTTAAAAGTGTGGAACATGCAATTGTTATTTGCATACATTGTCTTAAATATACTCAATGTTTACTCAATGTTGTTCTATATATATATACACAGTATATATATATATATATATATATATATATATATATATCCACTGTATATATATATTCTTTAACAATCGTATGATGCTTTTGGAAAGTGGAAGGACTGCCAATATCTTTGAAGCCATGCATTTAGAATAACATGCATCTTTCTCCACTGATTTTCACAGGAAGAGTGGCTGCATCATAATCAATTTAGATACAAAAAGAAAAAGTTCTATTTATATAAAAATGTTATTGTTTTACTAAGATATCAATGTCAACAAAGCTGACAATGTTTTTAAAAGATGATGCTTTTAAAAGTCCTTTCCTGAAACTGTCCCATTGGCTATTCATTATCTGTTAAAATTTAAATGACCATATTGTTGTTATTGCAACTTTTAACCAATACCCTCCAGTATGACGCATGCTAAACCATACCAAATCAATTAGATCTTACTCCTACTGTTTTCCTACAGCTTCTTACTTCAACAGTGTTGAAGCCCTTTTACCTGGAGCTTCCCCTCAAAGCTCCACAACTAATTAATTTCTGTAAACTGATCATGCATTATCCTGGAACAATGTCTCACCTTTCTGCTATGGTTTGCTGCTCATTAATTCCAATATTAAAAAGCACTGGGTAAACACTGAGCGGTTTTCCGTCTTTGATCTGTTGCGGAAGCAGCTCAAACATTTTTGTTGGAAGCCTGACCTCCACCTCGTAGTGTTCTCTAAAATCAAATTCAAACCACAGTCAATTACTTTTCGCAAAACTTAAAATTACATTACCAACAATACATAAAACCAACGTTAAATTCTCATTTACACTTATGGCAGGCACAAACGAGTGCCACGTTTTAAAAATATCCATGACATTAACACTCATAAAATGTGCATTGCAATCTGTGGGAGGAGAGGAGCCATAGAGAGGCCAAACATTTTTGGTTGATTCAACTGGAAACATTATATAAATGTGTGTGTGTGTGTGTGTGTGTGTGTGTGTGTGTGTGTGTGTGTATATATATATAGATATCTCTCTCTCTCTCTCTCTCTCTCTCTCTCTCTATATATATATAGAGAGAGAGATATATATATAATTCTCTAATTATAGCTTTTTAAGATAGAAGACAAATTAAAAATCCCCATTATAAATCATCCAACAATTGATAAATCACAGAATATGCACAGTTGGAAAGAGATTATGTTTTGTACACTATAATCCAAGCATCTGTAGAAACGTTTTGAAAGAAAGCTTCCGGATATCTTATGGACCTCACAGAGGTTTTTGCAGTCTGGTTTTGCTGCTTGTAGCCTTCGGAATTACTTTTCCCTGCTCTCAATACACTGCACGGTCTACCTTCCTACTCTCATAAAGGGCTATGTCCTCTGTTTAGTGCACCAACCATATTGAAAAAGCCTGCCTGTCAGAACAGAGCAAGTGGTGATTTCAGCCATGTGTGAGTGCACTCTATGAAGATGCTATGAAGCCTGTGACCATAGACAATTGGAAGACCTAGAACAAAGGGACAGGTGCCTTTTTGAAAAATGAGAGAAGGTGTTAATTATAGAAAGCTTTCTATTGCTAAAAAGCAGAATGATGGTGGTGCAAATGATTATATTTTTGTAGGCCCTAGTCACAGTGACTTTATGTGCCTTAAGGAAAATACAACCCCGAACTGATAAACTGTATAGTAAATGTAAAAACTAAGGGTGGAGATGATGCCCACAACTGCCAGTCAGGTACTTTGATTTTGCAACATGTGCCAGAAAATGGCGCAGGAAATTTGAGTGGTTTATTGTGATCAACAAATCTCCTCCCTTTTCTCTAGTAGACCAGAGAAAGCAAAAAGCAAGGCAATTTCTGGTAAGTGTGTATGTGTTTGTAGTGCTGTCATAGCTAGCAATACTACTGATCCAAATTATGGCTCTAAATCTGACTCAGAAAAAAGTTACATTGTCATTACAAACTAGTAGGAAATAACTTTCAGACAATTTGCAACGCCAGTGAAACCCTGGCTTAGAAAATAAACAGATTTCCCAAGGCTAACTGTTCTATATTTACATTTGGCAGCTATAATTTGATGGACAAATAAAGTCATGCTTTTAGAAACTGACAAAATACTGATAACAGTTCACCAAACTGTGCTGTTATTATAAAAAATAATTCATCATGTTTACTCAAGAAACCTTAATGCTGAGCTCAAATTCTCACGATACAAAATTGGAAATGCAGGTGCATGCTTCTATTGAACCAATGAATCTTAGTGGCATCATAGATTACGAAACTACTGTATATAATTTGTGTAATATGTCATAGAAACAGACTAGAGATCCAGCATGTGCAAAGCTAGAGTAAACTGTTTCTTAACAAATGGCAAGTATACCCATTAATCTTACTAGCTTGTGCAATGCTTGTGCAATGGAATGATTTAAAATATTATTACTAAATACAATACAAATTTATTGACAAGTAAATGCATACAAGGTTCCTCCATATTGAGTTTTCTAAAAGCAATACTACACAGCAACAGTCTGCCCAGAGGTACCCTCTTTAATGCAGAGAAATCAGGACGCTTTCATTGCACACCTGCTCCATCTCCTTTTCCCAGCCTTCATCACTATTTTGGAGAAGACACAAGATGCAAGGGAGCTGACAGCTAATGTACTACACTCACCAAATGCTACAGTAGGATCTGGCATTTGTATTTTCACTTAGCCACACTGTGATCACAATGTGAATGACCCGGGGTGTGGGAGGACATTTGAGAGGCTGCACAACACAGTACCATTCAACCATAAATGTGGCAGGTTGCACAACAGAGCCAGAACTAAGAAAAATGTCCTGAATAGTGTGCATGAAGCACAAAATAACAACACGGTATGCTTGGTGTGCTTCCCCTACCTGTTCCAGGCCATCCTGCTGTGCTCAGTTTTATATGAAACACAAAATAAATTGTGCTGTGTGCCACCCACTGTCCATCTATCCTAGTCACACAAAGTTTAAAGAAAAATGTAAATGTAAAAAATCTGTCTGACTAATTTGCTGTGCTAGGTTAGAAAATGAAAAACACACACAAAATATGTCCTGTTGTGCACCCAAAATGTCCCAGCTAAGCTTCCCTGCTTAATTCTGAATAGAGCAAAAATATACTCTGCGGTGCCCTACCAACATCCTTGTCTGCACATCCTGCTGTGCTAAGTTCAAAATAAAACATAACATATATACTGCTTTGCACCTTCCTGTAGGATGCCTGTCTTTCTATCCTACCAAGCTCCGTTCAAAATTAAACTCAAAATTTACTCTGCAGTGTGCTCCCCACATGCCTGCCATCTGGTCTCCCAGACTTATTTCAAAATGAAACAGCCCTGAACTGTTACATTTTGTAGTCTTGCACTTCTCTAGAAATGAATAGGAACCAGTATTGACATTGCAGTGCCAATTCATTTTCACAGTTCCCACAAGCAACCACCTGCCTGACCTTGACGTGCTGTATGCGGTGCAAGTTTACGCTATAAAATCTGGTTCCCAAACTTAAGCCATATATGTATAAGCCCTAAATCCGAAGATTTGGGGGCTGATGTATGAAAAGTTTGCTTTGTCATTCCTACAATCCATGGCTTGAAACATTTTGATTGGTTTCTATGGTCAACAAGAAATTTACCTGTTAGCACACTTTATATACCAGTCCCCAAATTCCTTCATTTACTACTTCATACGGGGTCTATTTATAAATGTTTTCATATAAGATTCTCACAATTTTCACCCAAGATTCACATAATTTGATTCAATTAAAAAAAAATGAATGTTGTATGCATCTTGTGTGAAAACATAAATTTGCCCCTTGCATATATTTATATTTAACTTTAAGCAAAAAACTAACAAGAATTAGCTCATATTGCAAACAATTGCTGAGAATTTTCTTCTCGCGGCTTGAGGCAATCCCGTGTCATTTATCATGCAACTTTGTTCTGAACTTTATTCATAAATGAAAATGTCAAGCCTTATAAATGGAATTAATTATCCCAACATGAGCTGCAGACAAGATAAAAATGCAAGGATATAACTCATGATTCAATATTATGGAATTGATTGTGGCAATATGAACATCACAATGTATCATAACAGTAATTAGTTGTGAAATCTAATACGCTTTGAAAAACAAAATGTTTTGTTAATCTAATTGCTGAAGATTGTTTCTGGAACAGAGAAGGCTTACCGTCTTCCAGTCACAAGGGGCAGGAAGTCATCTGATTTGGCCTCTGTTATTCTGAATACTATGTGCCTCAGATCTGAAATGCTGGCAGCCATATCTTCCAGCATCCCAATTTCTTCACCTAGATGCAACATGGATAAGAAAAGTGTCATACATGTGCAATGTATTTTGGTAATATACCATTTCCTTATTTTGAGAGCAACATCAGGCAACAAGTAAACTTGTTACATACTCAATGCTATTTGAGATTGCCCTCTTTTGAATATATCTAAACTTTTGGGCAGCATTTCTTTGGTCAGCATGCCAAGATCTCTGTGATCAAATAATAATCCCAATCGCCTACAGTTTGCTTTAGACCTGGTAAAGTCTTCATTTTAAATTGTATATTTAATTGTATATAGGCAAAACCTTTTTTAGTTTTGGATAGAGAAGGAAAGGGATAAACCTTCTGTGAAGTTTTCATTGCTGTATTTGTCCCCTGTGAAGAGATTCCCCCATTGTCATCGAAGCAGATAGTGGGGGGAAATTCAAAATATCCTCAGAACAAGAGGTGGGGAAAAAAAACATCTAATGGGGACAACTATGAGAGGAATTACCCTCAGATTTCAACTAACTTCCTATTGCATATCTGGGACAGGAAGTGAAACCAGAACTGTTAACTGTTACTGAACACTAAGCAATGTCCTACTATCAATAAGACAGACAGATGAGATACAAAACTATAAATCGTTTAAATATTTTTTTCTTTTATTTTTACTTAATGTGAAACAATATTTTGACTCAGTTTGTTCTGATGGCACCTACATACTTTCTGTGCAGAGGCTTTTACTGCAGCACAAGGGTAAGTATGGAGTATAAGGCTTATAGTTTGGCCTTATTTTAGAGGTTAGGTTAGTGTTAGTTGTAAAGCTTAAATGATACAGGGAGAGGTTAAGTTTTAAGGGTTTGCTTTAGGGGTAAATGTTAGGGTTGGGGGTTAGGTGCTAGGGATATGTTAAGGAATAAGTGTTTAGTGTTGGGGGATTAAGTGTTAAGGACTCATTTTAGGTTTAAGAATGCGAAGAATGCGAAGGAACGTTGGGCATCTACAGAATTCACACTGGTTCTTACCTTTGGGAACCTTGTGCTAAAGATACTAGGGCAAGATTTATTTCAGCAAGACCTAATGAACCAACAATACTTACACCTTTCTAGGGAAAAGTGCATCTAACATATCTTCAAATCAAAACTTGAAAAGATTATGCTATTTGGGAGATATTGCAATTGTTCTAAAATACCAGATTAAGAGATTACTTGAGGAGGTGGGGCAGATACTTTGGCCTCCTGTCACATGACTCTGTGCCACCTCCTTTAAATGCACCAGCATGTGGGTGATGCTGTAGTTGACTTAGAAGCATGAATCATAGCACACACAACTTTGCACGGCTATCAGCTCAGATTCAGGGCCCTTAGGGATCAAGACATTTATTAGGTAATGCATTTCCTGCTTCATGTTTCTGCTCACTGACATTTAGGAAATGTATGATGCGTCTATTTATTCCTAACATAGAAAGCTCTCCTTGTTTGGACTAAATTATAGTCACCTATACATTAGGGCATCAGCATCTGTACCCATTATTAAAAAAAATCCAAACCTTTACAGTTTTTTAATTTGATCTTGAACTCTCACCCTCATAAAATATTATTTCACTGTGGTCTATGGTGTACAATGCACTTCTTTCTTTCTCTTTACTGTGCTTCGCTATATTATTTAATAACAACCACAAATGTTAATTTTTTTCTTGGCCAGTGGACTCAAACATGGACTTAGGTGTTGTATAACTTAAATTGCTTCTTATTAGTTTTAAGCTATTTTGAGCATCTTTTTGTGTGAAATAAAATACCTATAAGTACTGAAGTTTCTCCAAGATGGAGTGGGTGCAGGATATAATCTTCTGCTCATGGTGCTTCAGATGGCATTTAGAGTGATTTATAAAGCCAGCTATGAGATAAGGTCCAACCGTGTGTTAATCATGGATGCTTGCATTTATCACTCATTTAATATGCTCTGCATACAAAGAGGGGATGTGCACAACACTGTGCTGGTTGGACACGTTTCAGATGACTAATTTACAGCTCACTTCAGGCTGCCGAGGTTGATGACTGATTTTCATAGCTGCTGGTTGAGTGGGTAAATCACAGCTGCAATAGCTTGAAGCAGGTATAAGAATCTAGCAAATTATGCATCCTTGTTCTTTAAGTGGCTGTGCATGGCTTCTGAAGCAAGAGAGCTATAATAATTATTCCAGGAAAGAAATTAATCAGTATGTTGTGAGCAGTTAAGAGATTATCACTTACTGATTACCAAACCCAACAGGGAAGAATTGTCATTTTGCATGGTTAATTAATTTGGGCTCAGAGTCAAAAGCTATAGATTTGTTAATAAACTAATGCAAATAACTTCTCTATATAGAAGAAATATTGGTGTTAAGATGTTCCGTAACAAAATGCCATTGTTTAAGTAGATCTTTTGTCTACAGCTCAATAAGCGTGCAAATGGCAACACACGTTGGCTTTCATTGGGTATAAATCCAAGTTGTTAATTGACTCTTCACATGGGTATACATTTAGGTTTATAATTGACACTAGATCCACGGCATTCTAATTCTTAGTTATATCTCAACAAATACCTTCAGGTACAATATTAAATTAAAAAGAAAACTTAGGTTGATCATGAATATGATCTATTATGAGAAGCCCACAGTCTACCTCTGGCACAGACATTAGAGGGTAGTCAGATGTGCATTTACCTAAAAGCAACCAACTAGCAGAGCACTCTTAACTTATAAGCTTATATAAAAAAGGTGCTGGTCCCAGCTAATCAGTGGGATAACAGTTTGTGGGACATGTTTTTTTTTTGCTTGAATGACTGTTACCCCAGCCAGTCAGTGGCCATCTTAGGGGGGAAACCCACAGATATGGGATTGTCAGTAAATCCAGCCAAAAATGTTCATAGGACCCTGGTTCACACCTAGGCGGCACCGCTTTTGCGCGTTTATATGTGCGTTAGCAGCATGCGGTTATTTGCGCGTTTATGCGCGCTCTGCACATTGGTACATGAAGACGCGCGTTTTGATTGGCAGCTCATAAACCATTGTGGGCAGTGGAAGAACGCGCGTATAAACGTGCAAAAATGCTCACAAACATGTGCAACATGCTGCTGTTGTGTGTTTTTGGGCATTTCCAATGAAGTCTATGGGGAGGAAAAGCGCTTTTAACTGCCCAAAGAAGCTCCTGTATCTTTTTAGGCATCTGGCGTTTTTCTGCTGGCATTTTTCTGCTCAGGTGTGAACCAGGGCCATTTAAAATCATGGGATTTCTTGTGATGGGCAGTTAAAAGCGCTTTTCGAAAACACCTTGGGCTAAGAGTTGAAGAAAAAAATGTAATAACTAATAGACAAATGGGTTGGTCAATGACTGATTGAAGTAAAGAAATCAATAAATAAACATGCTTGACTAGGTGAATTTGAGAGACTGTCTAAACATTTTGAAGAGGGAGCCATAAGAAATAGAAAGGGGAGGAGAGCTCTAGAGAAAGGCTGCCAGAGCAAAATCTTGTAGTTTCTGAAAGACACGGTCATGAGTTAGGAACACATTAGTAGGTCAGCATTGAGGCAGAGAAAATGAAGGTGATGTGTTTTCAAAGCAAAATATATAGTAGTATCTTAAATTGACAGTAAAGGGATTGGCAAAGAAAGGTGGCAGATGAAGAATAGAGGGCTCGGCTAATATTAAATCATAAAGTACTATTCCCGATATTGACTAGAGTTGAAAGATATGTTGGTGAAGAAAAAAACAGGAGAAAGTTGCAGCAATTGGAGATTTAGGGAATACAATGTTCTATCTAGATTAGTTACTTTAATGGCATCCTTCAAAAACTATAGGAGACCCACAGCAGATAGAGCAACAAAATAAATGAGCGGAAACTCCAGTTCTTTGTTTTGATGTATAAATATAGGCACACACTGCCTTGTTAATTTACTCACTGTATAGATGTTTAAAGTGTACTTTTGCAGCCAAATTGGGATAACACCTACTTTACATTTGTTACAAGTTTGCATTTACATAGCATAATGTATTACAAAAACCTTTAATAATTGATACTTACATTTTTAAGTACTTTTAACTTGTTTAAAAATCCTACTTAGCTCCCCACTATGTAATATTAAGGAGGGAGTTGTAGAGTTGTTTACCATAATTTACTGTCTGCACTGTGCTGACAGATCTCATCATTAGTAAACTAGATTTCGAAACGGTCTGTCCTAAGAAAGTGTTAAGACTGTATGTTAATGAGAAGAAACTTGGTCTTATCCTCTATGTTCCTTTTGAAATTGCTCTGAGTAAGGTGCAGTCCTGCCAATAATCCTGCTCCAAATAAGCAGCAATAAAGGTAAGAAACATTTTTGAAATCATTTTAGGTACTCTGTGTGAATGGGAACACAGTACAAACATCAAATGGCCGCAAATGTGGAAATTCACTTTAAGAAACTTCGTTTTTGGATTGAAAAAGGGTGTATCTTGGCCAAGTGTGCAAGTGGAAGTAGCAGAATTTAGGAGGTGTGCTGAATGGAATAACACAGAGAGATGATCCAAGCGCTAATAAATTGACATCAAAATTAAATGCAGCGATTGTAACAAAGCCATTTGGTGCTGTTGTCAAGTAAGAATATAGATGGCCATAAACAGCAGAAGACAATCCAACATGTCTGTATGATCCAGACACTACATCTGTGGTTCCACCTATCCATAACTTCACTCTTATTTTCACATATCATAAACTGCCAGCCTGTAATCATTTTAACCATTTCAGGTCTACCCATATAATGTTTAGTAGTGTAAATTGTGGCAATACTTACTATATGTGCTCAGAAGACCTTCATATTGTACTAGTAACCCCACTGTGTGGAGCTGCTGTAGAAAGCCCTGATTGTGTAAACTTGAATGCAGCTTAACTATAAATCCGCAGACCAATCCTGAAAGCTGTAAGATGGCAGGAAGGAAAGAAAGAAATCTTATGAATGGAGTTACATTATTTTCTAAAGAGCTTGTAATGATTGCGTACACCTAAATGTGTTCGAGCATTATAGATGCACTATAGCTGCTTACACATTTTCCGAGAATGATGGGTGAGAAATGTTCTCACCCTTGCAGGCTAGTGGGACTAACACTGTTCTTTCCTTCAAGTAACTCTGAAGGTAGTATGCAGTGAAAAGATGTTTCCCTTTTTTAATGGAAAACAGGAAATAACAAATTATTGGCCATTAACAATACCGGACCTTATTTTTGTATCACTCCGCTGTAGATCCTCAAATCATGTCTGAATTGTTTCTGACACTGTCCTTCCTTCTGGAGGGTGGCTACTTGTTGTAAAGTAGCCACCGCTCCAAGCTTGCTTGCGTAATGGACTACAATCTCACATTTGAGATTAGCCACCCTTCAGAAGGAAGGACAGTGCCAGTATGAATTCAGAGATTATTTGAGGATATAGTGCCCAATGATACACAAGATACATTTATGTTAATAGTTAAGGTACTTCAATGCATTTTTAAGATTCAACTCCTGAGTTTAGTGTCACTTTAAAATGTTGCAAAAGCTTTGCAAGTTTTTGAAGCTCACAAGTGCATGGCTTTATTTAGCACTACATTACCTGATGCTCAACTGTAATACTCAAATTCTTTGCATTACCTGAGGTAGTGTATGGCCAGTCTTAAAAAGATGTCTATTACAAATCACACTTTCTTTTTCAAATACTCTTGACATGAATCAACCTACATCAAAAGTTCCATCAAAAGGGATTTGATCAGGAGTAAAGACACTGAAATATCTCATAATGTAAAGAGCAAAGTAAAATAAACTGTCACAAATGACAATCCAAGAGTCTTTATCGTTTACTGCTCTGACTCCTTAAAATCTGATTGGTTTTAATGGGTTCCTCCACTTTGCACATCAATATTACTCTTTGTATTTATTAAATTATTCTGTAAAATGGTTGGTGAGCTGGAAATGTACAGTATATCTAGACAAAAGGTTATATCAAGACATCCAAAATGATATAGTATTGTACCATATGTTCTACTCATGTCACTGTAAACAGTTTGTTTCATTATCTAAAATCTCCTGACTTAAGTCATACATTTTCTGACAAACAATTTAGTGCTGCAAATAAAGTTAGTAATTCTTATGTATACCTGTGCTGCCTTGAATGAATTCTTCTCTACATTTTAAACTACATTATCAGTCTGAGGAGTTTCTATTAACCTAAACTTTCCATACATTCCTAAAATGGCTATATATATTATGGTCAGTTAGGCTTAAGATTAAACTGCAGCTTTTTCTGCCCAGCACCCAGTGCTATATTCACTCCAATCAGGTGAACAGTGTACACTCTCCAATTAATCCTATGGAGAGTTCATACTCTGCTGGATTGAATGGAAAATGCAGAGTGAATGCACAGGCCCAGCTCAGAATACTTTGACAAGTGGATCGGCAATCTCATCTGGGATATCTCACTGGATCAAGGACAGGTGAGTGAAAAGCTGGCAGGGGTGGCTGAGGGCAGGAAAACTACACTATAGATGTAACTGCTCACAGTGACTCATCCCTCATTGCACAGCTCCATCTGAGGATTCTATCATACCAAGGTAGCCTTCAAGCAGGCAGCATCATTTGGCTCTTTGAATATACAGTATATAGTTTAAAGTAGTATAAACTAAACAAACAGTTCAAATGAAAACTGAGCCAAAACCAATCAAGTTTTCCTTTGACTTGAATGCCTGTCTACGAGGAATAATTTGAGGTATATTTCTCAGTATGAAGTAACAGACCTGCTGTCTCAATTGTTTGATTGTCCCTTCTAGTACTTTATGAAAAGGTGCGCGTATATGTGATGCCAAGTGTCTCATGTGTGAACTTACGGCTTGGCTGAAAACCACATCTCTTCTGAATGTGAGGCGCAGGCACTGGGGCAAAGCACACGCCAGCTCTTGCAGCACAACAAAAGTCATTGAAGCCTTCGCCTTCTCCACAACTTCTGCTACACAGTCGTTTAGTGTAATTATCAGAGGGTAGAGCTGTTCATACCAGTCTTCTGCATGATAGAAAAAAAGACAGTGATCAAAGTAAACAGAGCGAGAACACCATGAAAGGAGTGCCTGCTGCCATGCTGAGAAAACACTGAATACATAAAAATATTATGCAAACTTGCTCTCATAAGATAGACATCACATTCACAGAATTTGTTAGAGGCTGCCATTAGCCGCTGCCTGCCAGTCACTCTCACCACTGAATATTGACAGGCTGATAAAACACCAGCTGTTCACAAAGTTTCATTCCCAGTTAGAAAACAGATGTGAGCTGTGGACCGAGAGAGGATCATACCATCACAATTACAATAATTACTGTTCGTATTAGTGAGCTGTGACACATATGTTCACAGAACAGACCTGCTTGATAACTGGTATACAATCTGTAACCAAAAAGAAAAAAAAACTCTCACAAAATAATGTTTTCAAGCTGTCTCTTAATTGATATATCCACTGAGAGTCATGAATCATTATGAGGCTGCCAACTTCAAAACCAGTAGAACATTTACATCTGTGAAGTCAACTGAGGTAAAACTCTTTTTAGAACCACTCTTGCCTTTTTTTTATTTTAGGGCCTCCTTTTCTTGCCAAACCGTGGCAGGGATAAAAGGAAAGGGATTCACATGCTCCCTGTCTGCACTTCCCAACATAAAGGTGATCCAGGTTTAGTCCTTTTTATGACCAGAGGTCACTGAGACCTAGATGCCTAATTAAAATATAACAGTGTTAGTATGCACTGGTTACTTTGACAATAACTGTTTGACTAATTTAGAGACCTTTCTCACAACGCACAGACAGAAGCTCCTATTGCTAAAATGGAACACGGATTAAGGTGCCATAAGCACAGGGTATCCTGCCTGAAAATGTTTTTCTACAGTTTATGGTGAAGAAAGGGTTAGTGGGGAATGATTTATGGAAGAAAGCTTTAAGGTGCCCATACACTGTGCGATTATCGTCTTTTGTCTAAGGAGCATGTTCGAAAACCAGCCGAAAATCTTACGATTTTCGGCTGGTTTGTGGCATGCTCGGGAAACAAATGCCGAATGGGCCGGGGTGCACACGCGCACACTGCCCGTTCAGCATTGCGGTCATCGGAAGTACGATCGCAAGTACGATCTGCCTGTCCAAGATGGGCAGATAGTACGTTTTTTAAATTACTTTACAACCATCGCAAGACTAATGTCTTGCGATGGTTGTAAAGTGTATGGCCACCTTCAGATAAGAACAAAACACTAATCAACACAGTTACAAGTGCATTAAAAATAATGAACTTTATTTTTAAATGTGGCAAGTGTAAGTTCTCAATTAGTTTTTGTGCAAATTTTTTTAATAGGTTTTCAAGTTTTAACAGATAAGATGAGACAATAAACATAACAAAATTCACAGAAATAAAAAGGTGCTCGAATTGCTCATATAAGAAAAAAGTTGTACTAACAGCATGAATAATCATGAGCAATACAGTCATCAGAAATATGGGGTTGCAAACTTGGAACATAATAACATCCGTAAACAAGTCCAATGAAGTACCTAGGGAAGGAAAGCAACTGCAATGGGGTGAAGTCTCGACTCAGAGAGCGAAAGATTGAAAGAGAGGCAATAAGGACAAAGAGAAAAAAAAAGGGAGGAGCAGGGAGGAAGGAAAGAGGTAGAAGAGAAAGTAAAAGGAAGGAACCAGTAAGGATGGGGGCAGGCAAAGTATTAGAGGAGGGTGACCACATTCACTCCGTTGGTGCTAAGGGAGAGGCCAACTAAGACAGGGTCATAGGAAAAGGAATTCCGCTGGAAGCCAGGAGGGAAAAAGTGGTCCAGTCAGGGAGTCCAGATGGCATTATATCTCTGCATTTTATCCTTGTGATGAGCAGTGATTTTATCAAAAAACATTGTATGAGGCATATTATCAAAGAACCAACGGAGAGAAAGTGTGGGGGACCTCCAAGACAGCGCAACCACACGTTTAGCAGCCATAAAAATATGTTGGAGCAATCTGAAATGAGTTGGAGAGTAACCAGTGGGCTTTTTATTGAGGAGCGTATCATAGGGGTCCTTCATAAGAGGTGATTCCATCACGGTTCGTATGTTACGGTAAATGGACAACCAAAAACGAATTATGACAGGACAATCCCACCAAATACGGGCAAATTTTCCCTCCGCCTCAGATGCCCTGAAGCAGGTAGAGGGGTATGAAGAAAGGGTTTTGTCAATCCAGTTCCGCTCTAGGTACCACCTAAAAAGTAGTTTATAGTTAGTTTCTAGGGCCGAAACTGCAGAGGAACTATTCGGGGTATCGGCCCAGATTTGGAAACAATACTCAGCTGGTAGACAAAACCCTAGCTCAGACTCCAATTTGGTAACATAGAGGGGTAAAGAGGGCTTGTATGAAGTTGCAAAAAAAGAAATAAATTATCCTGGGAACATGGAGGTCCATGGCGCAGATGTGTTCAAACTGTATCTTCTTCGAGACTTCAGATTGAGTATGTCGTAAGCCTTTAAGATAATGTTTGTTTTGTAGATATCAAATTTGTTAGTTGGAAGAAAGGTGATATTTCTATTGAAGAACTGTTGAGTCAACCAGCTTAGCAGGAGTAATAAGGTCATTAGCAGTCCGTCGATGAAACGCCCCAGAATTCAGCTGACCTGGTAGGAAGGAAGGGGTGCCAATAAGGGTAAGTAAGGGAGAATGAGGAGAGAGCAACCCTCCAGAATACTTTACATCATCCCACAATCGTAAGGAATGTACTGTGATGGGAGCAGAGATCCCTTTGCACCTATGAGGATGCAACCAGAACAGACTGCAAACCAAAATAAGACGACACAGGTAAGCCTCCAAGGAGACCCAAAGAGGAACATCTTTCTAGCATTCCATTTCACAAGTTGGTTACAGGAGGAAGGCCTGAACCTCCCGGTTTTTTCGGATGGAACTAGGTTGCTTGAGAAACCCTGGGATAAAACCATGCCAAACAAACTTGGATATGTGAGCTTGGAGAGCGCGTAAGCGATAGCGAGGGATCGACACAGGCAACACTCTAATGTAATAAGGAAATTTGGGGAGGAGAGACATCTTCACTGCCTCAACCCTGCCCATCCAGGAGATGCTATAATCATTCCAGGTAGTCAAGAGATCACATACATGTCTAAATAAGGAGGGATAATTGGCCTGATATAAAGTATCATAGGACTTAGTCAGAAAGACCCCAAGGTAAGGCACCAAAGTCCTCATAAGGTTAGGGAGGGATACCACCGGGTTAGACAAACAAAGTAAAACATAATCTGCAAACAACAGTTTATGATGGTAGCCTGCCACTTCCACACCACTGTCAGGGCATGACCTGATGTGTTGTGTTAAGGGTTCAATGCTCAAGGCGAATAGCAGAGGGGGAAGGGGACACCCTCCTCTCATGCCACGTTCAATCAGGAATGAGTCAGAGTAATGACCAGCATAGTCCTTAATTTGTTTTAATATCACACTCAAGTATTCCCTGTACAGCAACTCACAGACTGGAAGAGAGTGGGCCAGGAGAAGAAGCCAATCAGCTGAACTGCATTTACAAGCACTGACAAGGAAAATGCTGACGGGAGGAGAAAGCAGCGCATCAGTCTGCTGCCATTCCTTTTCTGTCCAATCATAGCTTAGTAACAGAAATGGCACGGCCGTGATGCAAAACTGCAGCACATAAAAGTCAGAGCAACAACCTGGCTGTGCTCTGTTGCAGGGCTATGTAAATCTCAGAACTGACTGGAGAAAAAAGCTAATCATTTGCTAAATAAAACTACTTCCATATTTTTTTTCAGATGTGTGTTTATTTTGTTAATAAACCTCTAAAACTTAAATCATATAGTGCTGCAGAGCTCAGCACTTACCATGATTTCTCTGTGTCTTTCTCTCCAAGGCTGTGGTTGCTTTGTTTTCCTTCTGTGATGCCCCCTTCTCAGGTTCCTGTTCTCAGAGGGCTCCATTCTCTTACTTGGTCCAGTGGACCCACCCTTTCAAGTGCGCTACCGGATGGCGCTAGGTACATCTCTTTCTATGCTGCACAGAAAATAAAGCCCTAAAGCCTAAGCAGAAAGCCACTCCTGTGCTCCTCCCTCTTCCCACCTTTAAGCAAGTGATTGACAGTGACCGGAGTCCCTATTACAATTTACACGGGAAGTATAGAGGATGCGCTATCCCCTACACAGATATCCCCTACACAGAGGCTCGTGGAATTAACGCTATAGGACCTGCAGCCTGAGATGGTAAGAAGCTAGAAATGTAGATGTATTCTCACACACTGGAAGAAAGGAATGTACTTTCTGTGTTGTACATGTTCCTTGGGATGCATTAGAAAATAAATTGTTTTATATTATTATTATTTTTATTTAATACTACTTTACCTTTTCTGGAGTTCACCTTTAAATTGTACTTCTTTCTTCCCTCACAAAATGTAATTCTTTACTTCCCAAAGTAAATAAGAACAATCTGGCTGACAATATCTATCCATATGACATATTCATGAAAAGCTATCATTAATTTCTGATTTCTGTATTACAATTGCCTTATTGTTGTATACCTTAATGTGTTTATTGAGGCGCCAGTATTCACGGAGAACAAAAAGACAACAAAAGATAAGCATACTAGAGAAGAATGCAATCAAAATGGTCCATTCTGCATAAAATGCCAAAATTATTTTTGTAAAAGAAAAATGTAAGTAGGACATTATCTGCTTCTTATTGAGAAAGAAAGAAAGAAAGAAAGAAAGAAAGAAAGAAAATTGACAATGCCATGACCTAAGTGTTACAATCCTACAACCTAGATTACATGGACTCTTGACTAACAATCATTACTGTAAAAAGTAGATTGTTTTTAGTTAGCAGTAAGATAAGAGGGCCAAAAGAAATACAGCTATACACAGGAACAAGGCTTCTAATAAATCAGCACACACTGGCAAGAATATTTTCATCAAATTGATTGCTTTAATGCATATATCCTAAAATGACTTGAGTTCCCCTTTAAATAAGCCTGTATATTACATAAAAACACCAATAGGTGGCAGTAAATTACTATTTGCACTGCAATTCTATTTTGTTTTGCCAAAGTCCCTTATCGATCCTTATTTGGTTTTTTTTTGTACATTTGGATTCATTGCAGTGAAGACATTGATAAAAGGATTATGAGATTGAAAGCTGTGAATCTCATACTCCCCACTGATGTAACATGCATGGATCTCCCTGAAATAATTTGTTATATATATATATATATATATATATATATATTGTGTATATATATATATATATATATATATATATATATATATATATATA